TTTTTTTCCTCTCTTTTCTTTTTTTTTTCAATATAGTTGGTCATTTTTACGTATCCCTTTTATGTGAAATTCGAATATATTGTATTTCTTTTTCTACATTATTAAAACAATATCGGTTATTTATATTTCATTCATGCCGATATAAAAATCTGATTCATATAATATCCTTTCTTTTTCCTTATTCCACTTTTTCATTTTATGGGAAAAAAAAGAGAGATTCTTTAACGCCATTGAACGGATAATTCAATATTTTCCAGAAATCAAGTATTTTTCATTTAATTCAATTTGATTAACTTTGTTTCATTGATAATATTCTTCCCTTTTACGTCCATTTTGATATATTTATCAAGGTAGATATATAAACTCCTGTATAATATTTCATGAAAATCATCGAGAGAACAAAATTCATAATAATGAAAATGTAACAAGAATGCACCACGTAATTACTTCCCTATATATAGTAATATTATGCAAATATCCACGGAACGATGCAGCAACATCGATCGATCACGTTCAACGTAGAGAATTGATTTCGCGTGGATCGATCACGGTTTCTTAATGATTCATTGCTGAGCGAATTGTTGTTCAACGAAGATGGCATTAAAACGATGGAAAATATAGAAATAATTTTCCACAAATATTACGTGGTCTTAATCATAGCGATAAAAATTCGAGATTCGAGTAGAAAATCACATATGAATGATATCTATCACTTCATCTCGAGTTACATCGAAATAGAAACAATGTATATCTACATATAAAAAATCAGATAAATTCTTTTGGAATTCTTTTGGATAAAAAACAAATTCTTTCTAGAATTCCATCGATATAGTACGCGTATGGATACTATAAAGCAAATAAAATTCCATTGTTAATTCTGTGAAACGTTAATTCAAATTTCGATTACCGGTTCGATGCGTGTTCATAATTGATATTAAATTTGTAATCGTTTTTAGTCGAACCGTTCGTCAATCGTGATTTCTAGCTTCTGCACGATTTTCGAATATATCTCATATTCGTTGCACGTACACTCTTGAAACAATTTCAATCATTCTGTCACGTTAATCGTATTATTTAAATCTCACTAAAAAAAAAATAAAAAAATAAAAAAATATTCACTCACTGATTCGTGTATTAATTTCCTAATCATTAAAACCGTTTCATCTACACTCATCCTTCCATCATTTTCACCGTACCAAAGAAACATCCGTGACGATCGCCGAAGCAATTGAAACGGGTATCAAAAGCGCAATGTCAACAGTGTCGCGCACAAGGAGACTCTACTCTTCAACTCTAATTCTTCGTCGCACCGTGAAAATTCCCGCGATAATGATTGTGCGATATTTGTCGTCGAGCGGTGCGCGCGCGATGGCTCATCGTAATGGATGAAAATCGATCGACGGACGAGAGTGAGAGGATCGAGGCACGATCGGTAGCGGAAACCGCGCGCGGAATAAATCGCGGAAGTCGATTTGGTGGCGGTCGCCGTCGCGGTCGCCGCACGAGTGTCGATGTTCCTGGATGGTTCAACGGAACGACGCTCGTGTACGCGAGTGTGGTAACGGCGTCTGCGCCGAGACGTCGCGTCGCCTCCGTGGTTGCGTTTCAAGCGTGCCGTGCGTGTTTCGGCGCCGCGGCGCGTCCTCGAGCGCGTTTATTCCGGATGGAATCGTAGAATCGTGGACGAAGAGATTGTGATACAATTGATCGATGTTGGAATTTGTTGAGTGCACGTACGAGACGATAAAAGGATGACTCGAGGAGATCGTTCGAGAGGGTTTCTTTTGACTTATTGTGAGAAATAACGAGGGGTATTGAAAGAGTGGATTGGTTTTTCTTTTTTTTCGTAGAGTGTAAGATAGCTTCTTCTCCTTGGCTAATAGCGTGTAAGGTTGGTTCTTAATCCGCGAAAGGGAGAGGAAATTTTTATTGGAACAAGAAAATTTTTATCGTAAGATGGAATAATGAAAAGGGATCTTTGTTAACGATTTCTTCGTGGATGGTATTTTCTCGTCACTTCTGCATTTTTTTAAATGAGTCTATATGTTTTTTTTTCACGACGTGATGGATGAACCGGAGGATCCATCGGTGTGAGCTCGAAGGATATTAATAGCCGGAGAAAGATCGGAATTCGTGTTTCGTTATTTTACACGAGAATTCTTCGGTTGTTTTTTTTTAGTTACAATCGATGGAGGAAGTGTCGTGGATTATTGAATTAAAACGACACTGATTGTTTCGATTTAGATGTAACTTTCTACGTTTATTGATAAAGATGAAGTTTAGATATAGACATTATCAGTCATGTATACTTTATTACAATAAGTATACTTTAATCTAACAATTAATCTTTTATATTTTCGTACGTAGAAAGTATTGTTGTTTTATCGTTTATTTATCTTGAAAACATAACATCTTATGTTATTTCTCTTATTACTAAAATTTCATTTTTATAATGCCATTATACGGTTTTTTTCAATTTACGAAATTCCTCTCCTTGTGCTCTGATGTTACTTTTCATTCTAGAAATTCTCTAATCTTCTCAAACCTTCCGTGAAATAGGCTTGATATGTTCTCTTTACAAATTAGTTAAAAATTCCTTGATGATGGAATTTTAATACTCTTTTGAATATTGAAATTTATCAAACCATGAATTAAATTTATTCACATATAGGGACAGCGAAGACCCTATTCGAGGTAATATTATTTTTCACCATTGATCCCTGAATGAACAATGTTCAATCATCAAGAATGATTTTGGAGGAAGTAATCGCCAATTCATTGACCCATCTTTGTTAATTATAAACATTGGAAGCCTTCATTCATTATAGCAGATAATCGATTAAACAGTAATTGATAATGTTGATCAATTTCTAACACTTTGATGCTGAAAGAAATATTTTTTTGTAAGAATGAATTAAAATCTTCTAAAAAATGAAAAAATGTGAAATAATTATTGCAGATATTGCATTTTTTCCCTTTTTTTAAATGTTAAGAAAATAATCAATAAATTAATAAATATAATATAAATTTATATATTCAATTAAAATATTTATTAAAGATAAAAGTTACTAAAGGATTAAATAAAATTGAAAATAAAAAATGTATGATAGAAAGTAAAATTTACATCGTACATCTTAAGATTCTTATAAATCGGAATTATAGGATACTTGAAATATATGGATACCAAGATATGGATCGTAGTAAATTCCGGATTGGACAATTTCTTGAAGAAGGAATGCTCTCATCGAACTCTCTATTCTTTCTTCGATCCCATCTGCATACTCGAAATCGGATCGAGGACGGAATTCGAACAATAGAAAGACTACTCATCCGATTCGGTTTTTATCCGGGTACTCCATTTCAAACGTCGAGAACAATTATTCGTCGCTTTTATCCCAATGTCATAAGTGATCAAAATGAATCTCTCTCTCGTTTTTCAGTCTTCATATATCCCATTTCATTTTGTCACCGCTGTATGTTCGAGGTTTACCAATTTTGATATAGAAAAGAAAAAAAACTAGACGTTATTAAATTATTATTAAACGATAAAAATAAATTTTTCGATTCGAGGATTTTATACGAATCGAATTTTCGTGATTCAAACATAACTCTCAATTTTTTTTTTTTTCGTACGTAGGATTTAGAATCCTACGCATCATTTATTATCGTTCAAATTATATTTTCTTCGAAGATAGAACGAAATAATACTCAAGAAAATTCAGAACAATATTTCTTTCACGATAGAATAAAATAATATTCCAAAGAAATTCAATGAAACCAGACCCATATTTCATCATCCTTCTTGTGTGCGCTAAAACAAATCGTTAAGACATTAGTGAAATGCAATATAACGAGAATCTCGTTACCAGAGATAAAAATCGTATTTCTTCCCTTTTGGGATTCGTTCTCGCGTTTCGATTTCTCGCGGGACGTTGAAACGTTGGTGAAAACGTAGTAAAGATGACGTCACAATGGCGTTAAGGGCAACGAAGCACACAGTTTCGAAAACATGAAAGACTTCAGGAACAATGGTGGTCTTGGTTCTCGATTGTGGTTTGCTGTCGTTCTGCTTTCATCGAAATAACGAAGCTGGTCAAACGTATCGAAGCGAAGGTTGACGACAAAGTTTCCCATCGTCATCGCAGCTGCTGTCTCCGTTTTCCTTTTACGTGGCTCACACGCGGCAGACGATTCTCTTCGATCAATAGTAATTCGCATTTTTCACACACCTACGCGATCTGTATCACACACATACACATATATATTCGAACTATATGATTCCTTTGACGTTTGTTTCCTCCTTTCACTTGGATTGCTCGTTGTTTTTGCGTCGAAGGGCGTGCGACTTTTCCTCTTCGACGAACATACATCACTTCATCCCCTTTTGGTTATGGCTCGATGAACATTTCGAACATTGCCTTCGCGAATTGATTAATCTGTTATGATTTATTCGGATCGAATATTTGTTTTTCTATTTCCCATGTAAATTTATTTTTTGATACATATTCGATTTTAGGGATTTGAAGATTTAATGCACGTGTTGTGTTTTAATCTGTCGTACAAAATCATTTTTATATCATATTCTATGTACATGCATGTTTTATTACGTGTGAATTAATATTTATAATGATACGCTAAAAATTTAAAACAAGACAAAATTTAAAATTCGAATCTAGAATTTATATTAAATGTTAATTATCGCGATTTATTTATTAATCGATATATTATTATAAAAATATTTCCTTCAAATTTTCCTCTGGTTTTTAATTCATATATTAATATCTACGTTTTATAACAAATATACGAAACAAAATTACGTTCACTGAGATCCGAGTTGTAATACAGTAAACAGTATACATGTTACGGAGAATATAGAGGGGTAGTACATCTTTATTTAATATTCTGTTGCACACGTTTATTTGATAAACTGAACGTACCATGTAGGTTTGAGGTTTCATCAGAGACACGTTCTTTTGTTAGGGGTTCCAGGTGTTCCATGTATTACTTAGAAGCCTCGTTCCCCGTATTGGTTAATGACTGTTGAATAAACAATAGCTTTCGGTAGACCAGTGTAAATTGAACGAACCAGGTAAGTGCTGATTCTAAGAATTTCATCATTTAATCGAAACATTCTTTAATCTTATCAATATTAATTTCATAATAAATTTAAATAATTTCCTTTCTTTTCTCGAACAAGCTTTCGTAGAATCTATTTTTCATTTAACTTCGAGTTAAATAAAGTTAGCATAAAATTTTTAAAAAGAAATTTAATAATTTTTGAAACATCGTACGAAAAGATCGTAATACACTGCAAGAATCCGAAAGAGGTTTCTATTTTCAAGAGAAGTCTGCGGCCGAGAAATTATTTACGGCTCCTATTTATTTTTGCAGTTTCGCCTCAAGTGGAGCTGGATGAAGGTAGTCTCCTCTCTTTTCTCCCGTTCAATCAACCGGGATGGCCAATTTAGTCTCCGATTCGTGAGAAATGGGCTTCATCGAAATAATGTTTGGAAGACGTTTCGATAAAAATGGCTACGAGTCGGAATATATAGATATTCGCGTGATGGATATCCTTTTGTCAATGAGATATAAAGATTTCGATATTTCAATCATATGTAAGGGAAAAAGATGTTATTTTTAGAAATTTTTAAATTGAGAAATATCGTTCGAAGATTTTTACGACTATAGAGCCATTATATATTACATTTCTTCGTTGTTAAACTAGCAACACGTGGACTTATTCTCAAAGAATATTTCTAAAGTGTATTTATTTATTAAAAAAGTAGAAAAAAAATTAGAAATATTTTTTGACTAAATAGTAAATGTATAAAATGTATTTAAAGGATATAATATACATTAAATAACACGCTTTTAAAAGAATTTTATTTTTCTATCGGCTGAAAATCGTCTCTTTCAAAGGGATTGCAATAAGAAACTAAATTTTACTTTAAAAAAAAAAACTTTAAAAGCTGAACCTCAAACCCTTCCCTCTGAAACTTTATATCCCTCAATTAACAATATTCGTCTCGTATTCTACGCACAACGACAGTAAAAAAAAAAAAGTACAATTATGAAAAAGTTCTCTAACCGAAACTTCTCATCATTTTACTAAAATTCATCGAGATCTTTCATATCCCAAAGTTAAATTCTTTCAAAGATAAATTTAATCCCCGAATCGATCTTGTAAAGAGATCCTCGCTGGAATTAATCTCTATTTCTATTCGAAACACGTAACGATCGTCTATCCCTAAGCCACGAGACACGTTCCTATCGAATCAATCAAGAAACCGAGCGACCGTTTCACGTAGGGATTGCGGCCTACGAGCAGAGAACACAAAGGCGGACACGAGTCGTTGCAGGATCGATAACGCCTTTACAACGCTACCGGACGTATATACGTGAACGAGGCGTAAAGAGCACGATGACCAACAACGGCGTAGAACCGTGTCCCTTCGTAAGTTAAGCCGAAGTCCGCTACCCTACGTATAACGGAGGGGAGGGAACCAAGAGAGAAAGTAACTCGAGGTAGTCTCGTGTGTCTAGTAGTTTACCCACGGCACAAACTATAGGTGAAATGGTGGATAGATGTATTGAGAACCACTGGATTTTACCTGGCCGCTAATAGGAGAGCGGAGAGCACGGAATGTCCTCGTAAAAGCGAGGGAGAGGGACAGCGAGATTGAAGGGGATAGACGAGGAGAGGACACGGATGGCGGGCTGGTGTTTAAAGAAGGACACTCGATATAGGAGGCATTGTACCCGGTTACCGTCAGCCGTTCCAGGTGCTGGAGGGCAGTCGGCTCTCGCCACGGGACGGGCATATACGCTTGCATTTCCTTCTCCGTGCCAACGAGGGGAGAGAAAAAAAAAAAAGATCATCGCGCTTGGTTCGTTGAGCGCCGCGTGTTTCTCAAAGACAAGAACGCGAGAAAAAAACATAAGAGAAGCGACGCGCGACTTCTGGCGTGCTTCCCTAGTCAGCCAACGCAACGGACCGATCGTAGCTAACGTGCTCATCGTCGTCGTCGTCGTCGTCGTCGTCGTCATCGTCGTAGTCGTGGTCGTCGCGAACGCCGTCGTGTGTCTGCACCGGGACGCACCAGCCGGCGAAACGCGTGCGAGTGGGAGAGAATCGTAAGTGGGAGAGAGAGAGTGTGTGTATGCGTATGAGAGAGAGAGAAAGCGAGTCCGAGTATAAGGCAAAAGGGGGGAAAGAGCGGAAGAGTGAAAGAGAGAGAAAGAAAGAAAGAAAAAGAAAGGAAAAGAAGGAGGGAAGAAACGTCGACAGGGACGGCTGTGGATCGTGTGCCGGTCTGCAGTGCGACATTCGACGACACACACACTCGCCGCTTCCCGTCCTTCCATCGCAGCACGCCG